ACACACACACTGGGAGATAGAGGTCAAAAGTGGGGTTTGCAGCTACCTTCCTCTGTGCTTCAAGCCATACTCTTCCCTGTGCAGGCTGAGCAACAACCCCAGGATCCTACTCGGCCAAGTTCCATCCTCAACCCATTTAGGGCAGAGTGAGTGGTTATGCATTAATTCCAGGGAAAATTAATCTCTCAAACATTCCTTAAGTAAATCTTAACATTCCTTAAGTAAATCTTGCTATTCAGAAAGTCAAACATTCCTTAAGTAAATCTTGCTATTCAGAAAGTCATGTTTTCCAGTGAGTTTGAGAGACCCAGATTCTCCTGTCTGATTGTCCACATGCATTAAGTTCTGAGGATCGTTACCCATTTCTCTTTCTCACTTGGCTGTTCAGACAGGCGTGGCCTTGGGAACTCAAACTCCCAAGAATGTCTGGGGCTTTAGTTCCCTCTAGCCACCCTCTACACACATACACACCTGTATCAGGATAATGCAAACTTTTCATTCGGTGAAAACTGATTCTCCAAGAGCCCTGCTTTCTCACTCTTACACCTACAGGAATAACACCCCATCTACGAGAAGGGCCCATCTCCCCCAAGCACATTGTAGCCCCATTTCACAGATTTAACCTCACCTCTGGCCAGGTTCTCGATATCTTTCTCCACTAGCTGAGTTCCTGTGACATCAAGGGTGAGCCCATCTTCGCCTGGGATACAAGGGCAGGTAAGAGGGGTTCTGTCCTGGGAGAGGTCTTGGGAGGGGAGGAGTGAGCTTCCCCGGAACTGCACTAAGTCAGGGACCTACTCCAGGCCCTCTGCCTTTAGAGGAGACAATTGCAGTCATCCAGTACTATCCACCTTCCAAGGCACCATTTTAGGGGTGTGGCCATCATTTTAAAGAGGGACACCCTGCAGGAGAGTGGACTCAAGGAAGACAGGCTATCGTTAGGGCAGAAAGTGTCCTTCGACTTGTTGTATGTTGGTTATGGTGTCCCTCATTTCCTTCTTATATGCCCTCTTCTCTTACCCCGAAGAGCCCTAAACTGACCGAGGAGGTAAGCAACTCAAAAGTTGGCCTGCATCTTGCCCGCGTGGTTTAAATATTTATCTACCAGTCTCAGGAGGAGACCGGCCGCCGCTTACGCTTGATTGAAAGCCTTCCTCGCAAACCGTAGCCAGTGGGAACCTGGGCGACCTAGGCCCTAGCCCACGACTGAGGGAGTGCGCGAGGGTCCTAGGACTCACCTCGGTCTGTATTTGCAGGACTTGGCTGGGAGATACTCCTTTGGTCTGGATAGGATTTCCTCGTTTCCAAATCGTCGGCGGTCGAGTGATTGTCTTCCTTATCTGGCTCTTAAAGGCAATAAACCGAGTTTCAAGGAGAGGCAAAGAAATCGTGACCCCGATACGGCCAGAGCTGCCGCGGCCGGGGCGCCCGAGCCCTAATTAAAAGCGTTGTGGCTGCTGCTGTTCCCGGCTGTGCGCCTGGGCTTGCACCCTCAGGCTTTGGGCCGGGCACCCCCTCCCCTGCGCGCGATCTGATCTTCTCCGGCTCCACGCCCCCTCCCCAGCCCCTCGGAAAATAGCAATACGAGCAACTGAGCCCACTAGGGACAAGCGACCTACATCGCGCGCCAATACTAGGGCACCGCGAGTGCGCGTGGCCGCTGAGTCGGCCTGAGCCGCTCCCGTCGAGAACGCGGCCCAGGCGGTGCCCGTGGGAGTAGTGGCTGCGAGGGAGGCTTCTCCTGGACTCAGCCTGCCCGCATTCCCGAGGCCCGAGGCCCCTCCTCTGCGAGCCACTGGGTCCCGCGCGCACCTGCAGGCCTCCCCCACCCGCATGGGGCCGCAGCTACCATGAAGCGTCAGGAGTACCCAAGTGCACAGCCAAGCACCCCCACCATCCGCTGGACTCGGCCTGAACACCGGGGACCTCGGGGCAAAATCACTTGCTGAATAAATGAGAGGACTTTAAAGGGGTGCCAGGAGCGATTTTTAAAACGTTTTAATCCAGTGTATGAGGTGTACGTGAGCATGCGTTTGTGTGCTGGAGCGGGAGGCTTGTTGTTGTTAACTAAATGATGGAAGTTGTTGAGAGTTCTCACTCAGCTTCCTTCCCCGCCCCCCCCCGCCCCCCGATTGTTTTTCTTTCCCTCTCCCTCTTTCTCTCCCTTTCTCTGCCTCTTGGCTCCTCTCCTCTTCCCTCGTAGTCTTCCCCTGGCCCCGGCCCTCTGCCTGCGGTCCCCGCGTCACATTGGCCAGCGATCTCCGCAGGGGGGGCTGGGGGCGTTACCATGGGCCTCCGGGGTGCAGAGGTAGGAGGCCGCGGGCCCCAGCGCCGCCGCCGCGCTCTTCACATGCTCGTCCCGCTCTGGCGCGTACACCTGTGCCAGCCAAGAAATGACAGGCGGTTAGAGGGACGTTTGGCGGCGGATGGGAACAGCCTAGCCTTGCGCCGCAGCCGGGAGGGAGTGCTGGGGGGTGGCGGAGGTCGACTCGCCGGTGGGACTGAAGCGCCCCGGGCGGCAGTGACGCACAAGGAGCAGCCTTGCGCCCTCGGAGGCCGCATCACCGTTGTAGATTCGGGGTAATTATTAGCACCCTAGAGAAAATTATCCGACACACAAAGCGGCTCCCAAGCCAAGGGCGGTTCAAAGCAGCCCCCTCATCCTCTTCACCAGCCTTCTTTGCCGCATCTTCCCTCCTGCCCGCGCCGGGTTCGCGGCATAAATGACGCCTTTCGCATCTGGCTAGCGATTCGTGTTTTAATGGACCGAATGGAAATGTACAAGTGTGCGCACCCACTTTCAAATAGCCAACGATTCCGGCTTAGCTGCACCCCCACCCCCCACGCACCCACACACACCCGAACCCGCGACCCCGACAACCCGAGAGCCCCTCTCACGCCTTGCACACGGTCTCGACAGCTTCTCACCACGACCCCTGTGGTTCTCAAGGTGGGAATTCGAAGAGGCTCGGACAACTACCAGTTGGCGTGGAAGAAGATTCCGCGGGCCGCGTACGGCAGTGGCCCTGCTTGGGGGAGAGGTCGCCCTCTCTTTACCCGCTGCTCTTCCCTGAGGCTTTGATCCCCATCCAGGCGATCGTGCTACGGGCCTGGCCTCACGAGCACTTTTCTCTGGCTTTGGGTCCCTTTCTCTCTTCCTTTTTCTTCCTCTAGAATCCTTTTATTTCTCTTTCTGTCTGCCTGTCTCCTTACTCCCATCACTGAGAAAAGCACACGCGTTTGTCCGGCTTGCCCCCAGGATCTTCTAAAACCCTCAGCTGGGGGTCCCAGAGAGTCCAGCTCCATAGTGCTCCTAAAGGTGGGTCTATCCAGAGAACAGCCGGGGCCTGCCGCTCGAACGCTCGCTCAGATTAAAATTCCCATCCCTCACCCGGCCAGCGCCGGGCCTGCAACCCCGTGGTGCCTAGGGGTAAGCAGGAAGGAGCCACCAACCGGCGGGCGCGGGGCTCACCTTGGCCGGCGCCGGGCCCCCCAGCGGCCCGCAAGGCTCTCGCAGCTCATAGCCGCCGCTCGGCGGGCTCCTCTCGGGTCTCCGCACCACGTCGTCGGCCGCCAGGTCCCCAAATGCGGACCGGCTGGCTGAGGGTAACCCGGGGCGACGCCGGAGGTGAGGGCTACCGCCCTCGGGAGAGTCTGTGGGACCGTCGACACCCGAGGAGGTAGTAGACGGGGGCCCGGCGGGCTGGTCGCCATCCAGTCCGCATCCTGCGCTGGGTGCACCCGTCGCGCTGGGCTCGGCCTCGTCTGGGGCGCCCTCGTCGTCGGGGAAGCGGTTGGACTCCACGTCCACCTCGGGCTCGTCGGCAGTGTCCACGTCAGGTGAGGCAGAGTGGTAACTGGAGCTGCCTTCACTCAGAAAGTCCGGACTCACGTAGCCGCCGCTGGACCCTGCGCCCGGCCCCGGCCCCCGAGCAGGGCCAGAGCCGTATGCGTCGCGGGTGCTACCGTAGAGCTTGGCAATGCTCTCTGCGTCCTTGACCACAGGCCGGAAGGCTGACACATAGGAGCCTTTTCGTGTCGGCGGCGGCGGAGGCGGCAGTGGGGCTAGGGGAGGCGGCAGTGCCTCGTCTGCACCTTCCTCGTCCAGCGGCCCGCGGGACAGCGCGCTCGGGCAGCGCTCCTCGCTCCT